AATTTTCACACTTTTCTTGATTTGGTTGTTTTTTACAGTGTGTTCTTCTTTTTGAGCAGAAGTTACAGGATTTTTTTATAGTGATTTGATTATTGGTCTTCCTGTTGGTTTTATGGGTGCTCTAAAGATACAGTATATATTTTTCTTTTTATAGCTTATATACTTTTCTTGTTCTTTTTCTTTTTTACAATGTAGTTTCTTTTCGAGATAATTTGTACAATGTCTGTTTATTGGTAACCATAGTAGTCTGTAGCTTTTTAGTGATGTATAATCACACTTTTCAAAGTTGTTTAGTGTACAGTGTCTACACTTTGTAGATCTTTTTTCTTGTATACACCTTGATTTGTGATCTAAGCAATTTCTACAGCTCTTGTTATATTTGTGTTGTTCTACTATTGGTTTCTTTGTAGAATAATATCATTTACTTCTTTGATTGCTTTCTCAAGTGACTGTTGTTTTCTTTTTGCCTTTCCTTTGTGATTTATTCCTTTCTTATTTCCTCTTCTATCTTTTCCATATGCACTATAATTCCCTTTTAATACAGTATTTACAGTCTGATGTTTCTTCTTGCTTTGTACACCTTTGTTGTATTTTTGAACAGGTTTCATACCTTTTATTTATTTTTATCTACTTTATTTAGTATATGATCAATTGATCCTTTTCTTGACTTCTTTGTTGACTTATTTGGTTCTTGTTGTTCTGTTCTTGAATCTATTTTTGTTGTTTCACAAATTGTTTTAGTCGTAAGTGCTCTAAACACTCTTTGAGTCCAAAAACTCTAGTACACTTTTTTCTTTTCTTGGTAGCAGTAGTTGCAGGCTTTATACTGTCTCATTTAGTTATTGTTGATTACTAAATTTTCAAGGTAACCAGTCACAGACTGTTCTTGGTCAGGTGGTATCATTATGTTCTTTTGCGGCTAAGTCTCTTGCTTCATTAAGAATGTTATTGAGTTTATTCTTATATTCTTGGACGTTTCTTTCTTGTATAAGACTTCTAAGATTGGTTATAAATGGTTCTCTTGTAATGATTTCTACTTGTACAATTATTTCTAATTCTTCTTTTCACAGAACAATATTTGTTAGATCAATTATTGATTGGTTCAATAATACGTGTAGGTTTTGTAAGAGTTGATATATTTTTCTGAATTTGTTGTTATCAGTTATTATTGTTCGGCTCATTTGTTCTATTGTTCGTTCCAGTCAGATTTTATTTCTTTAAATACTTTTTAATATAGTACATGGTTGATAATTGTAATGCTCCAATTCATTACTTTTTATAGTACTTCGTTGTTGTTCCTTGTTCATTCTTAAATGAATTTCCAAGAGTCAAACAGTGGTGATTAAGATTTCTTTATCTTATCGGTAATCCATTTCTATGGCATATTTGTTTTGATAAATATTGGTCATACCATCCCAAGGTATGATTGATTTTGATAATCTTATACCTGGTGAGTGCTATCTTGTGGTCTTATCTCATTATAACTATAAAAGCTATTTTAATATTTCTAATTCTGGATATTCATATTCTAGTAAACATGTTGAATATTGATTGTTTATTTTGAGTGTGTTCTCAATATACTCATGACTGATTAATTTGTTACACCCTTGTTATTTTTCTTGTGCTTTTGTGCCCTATCCATCGCACAGAGCTATCGTACGCTTCCCATTATAGGTATATTAACAGATAAACTTTGATTATACCTATCTATTAATTCTCAGAATTATAGATTATCCTTTTCAGGATATATTAATATTATCCTATTTGTGCGCCTTAACTAGTTAATAATTGTGTGTTGTTTGTTACTAAAATATTTTGTTGGTATCACTATGCCCAACCAATCGCATATTGTAATCGTGAGCTTCTATATATAGATATTTTCTATTTCTCATGCCTTTAAAGCTATTTTATACAATTTATACAAATTTGTTATTTCTAATTATTAATACTATTTGATAGACTATTATAATTATTTTCTTTTAATTATGCTGAGTATTATGA